GTGTGTGTGTGTGTGTGTGTGTGTGTGTGTGTGTGTGTGTGTGTGTGTGTAGGGTGATGATACAAAGTGTACAACAAAGGGCAATAAATATAAAATCCATACAAAGTAATGAAAAATATTTTCAATAGAAGTGGGGGGAGGAAAGGGGGTAAATCAGGAAAGAGACCTACTAAGCATGTTTAACCAAAGACACTTGAGTTAATGGCAACTGGTTATAAGCAACAGGTTGTTGTGTTGTTGTGTTTGTCCTTTGTTCTCGAAGAGGACCATGACATCAGGGAGATGATGACATGACTTGAAGTTGACTTTGATTTGAGTGAGGGAGGGCTGTGCAAGGTCACCAGCCTCATTCTCTTCTCCAGAGCCATCTGGGTCCAGTGGCCAGATATTCATCAGGAGGATGGGAGATGGCCCAGGATGCAATGGGAGACCATGGCCTTATGAGCTAAGGTCTTTTCAGGTTCTCACTTTAAGTAAGGTAACACCCATTCAGTGAATAGGCCTCTTTAAGAGGTGAGTCAAGGGATGGCCCTTTTAATCAGAAAAAAAAAATCAAACTGGGAGGGGAAGGCCCTCAGGATTGCTGGCCAAAAGAGTTATCTCCAAACAGGCCTAACATATGAGATAGTCTACAGTTAGTAAGACTTGACAGCACCCAAGATGAAGAAAAAAGGACTTCAAAAATGGGCTCTTACATTGTTTTAGCCTATGTATCTGCTAATATTGATCGGGGAATCAGAATATAAATGCTTAGCTAGGCAAAAGCGGCCCCTCGAGCTTGCCAATTCATAATCGACCTCACCCCCTTTCCCTTCTCCTTAGGCAAGGAACTGTTTCTTGTGCAGAGACTTTCCACTTCAACTGCCTTTGCTTCTAGTTTACTCTGTCTAGTAAAAATTGAGAAAATATATGAAACCTTAGAATCAAGTTCTAAATAATTTAAATGTGATCTTAAAAAGTATAAAATTAGTCAAGGTGATTTCATTGCTGCTGGACTTACCTTTGACCCATTTTATACTTTTAATTTTTTGCTTTTTGTAATATTTTCTTATCAGTCAGTATACTAGGAAGAATGTATATATAAAAAAGACCTATACAAATGCAGAGCATGTTGTATTTATCCAATCATTTTATCCTTCCTTTTTCAAGATAACACTTAAGTTATTTAGAATTTGATTCTAAAGGTTTCATGTATTATTCCTGTTGATATCAGCAGGAGTTTTCCTAGTTTAAGCTGCTCATAATTTATCATCCTCCTGTGAACTTCAATATAACTTTCCTTGGTAGGCTATGGTTTATATGCATCTGTTCTGCAAGGTAATGTTTTAGCAGTGCTGCCAACACCTGACCTCATTAACAATTAAGATATCTTACAATCTATGGAATGAAATATTGATAGTTCATATGAATGTGAAACTAACACAAACTCCTTTGTATGTTACTGGACTCAAATTTTGGAGAATGTATCACCTTATTAAGTCATTTATATCATAGATGGCCTTTCAGAGACACTTTATTTATTAACTTTTTCTTTATTTACAGTGATCTGCAAACCTGGAACTTATAACCCCCACAATGGAACTCAGTGCCTTCGATGCAACAGCAGCATGGTGTATGGAGCAAAGAAATGCTAAAGTACCATTATTTTATGTTTCTTGACAATTTAATAAATTTAACAAGTTAAATATTTTCTTCATTTTGCATAAATAAAATACATTTATTTAAAAAATGATGAGTCATCATTTTGATCAAGTATTACAATCTGGAAATACCTTACCTGGATTGGAAAAGACTGGATCCCAAAGTTCCTAATTTATTAATATTGTTTCTTTATTTAGACTTAAATTATAAAATCTATCTATACTATTTCCTGCATCACTGTACTTCAGAAATATGTTAGAATATACTACATTTCCTATATATCCTATACATGGAAGTAGGCCAAAAGAATTTTAAAAGTCTTGCTGCAAAGATATTGTGGAATAAATAATGAATTTGAATTCAGAGGATCTGAATTCCTAACATTACCACCAGTGCTAATCCTAGCACTACCACTTACTAGCTATGTGAACTTTGGGCAAATTACTGCATCTTTCTGGACTTTGGTCCCTTTATGTGTGAAATGAAGGGGTTAAATTGGATGATCTCATCCCTTCCAGCTTTAGTTCCAGAACTCTGATAAATCAGATCTCTGTTTGCAGTTACTCTACCAGGCAGTCCTAGGTTGTTTCCTTATTCATGTAGATCCTCTTGCAGATTTTTTCATTGTTTCAAAGGGACTCCAGGAAGTTATTTCTATTAATCTGACCCTACATAGGAGGAAACCATATACACTGTACCCAGTGGATTTTACTAGGGACAATTCTGATATGTATATTCATTGCAGACCTTAGTGTACCAAATGTAGTGTGGCAGTGATTTTAATGTACCTTTGTGTTTAGCATCCTTTAAATGGCCCTATTAAGAGAGTGGAATAACATGTTCCCATTTGCTAATGTAGAATGAAACCAAGACTTTAATTTCATTTCTATCTCTAACAGTTGTCTTTTTTTGGAAAAAAAAAATCATTTAACTTCCTTGTAGTCTCATTCCCTCCACTGTTGACTATTAATAATGATCAATTTCACAGAGTTGGCATATGTAGTCATTTACGTATGCTAAAATGTTAAAATTTCTATATAAATACTCTGAAAAATAAATTTATAGCTTGAGAAACCATTAGTCCCCAAAATTTTTTGTGTTCAGCATAATATGTCTTGATTCATATCTGCATTTACCAATTCTACTCTTTGTTCTGTTAGTTATTCCCTCTTCCTCAATCTCCAGCTTCTTTTCCTCATATTACTAGACATAAAACACAAGCATCTGCCTTAACAAATACAGACAAATTGAGTCTGAACCAGCAATAAAATTAGTTTAAAAATAAAAATTCAATTAAATGAATCTACCAAATATCAATTTCAAATGAATTGGTCTGTTATTTGATAGGATTGACTAGATTGATATGTTGTGCTTTGGGGTTTCTCATGCGAATACATATTCCTATGAATAACAAATCAAAAAGGAATAGATATGGAATAAACTATGGATTAAGTTTTAAGTCCACCCTAATTTCTCTCAGAGTTCTTTGGACTTTCCTAGAAAATCATTAATTGTATTCATATATAGTTATGTTTTTTCCAGTGTTTGTTATTCCTGAGTAAGAAGTTATGTACTAAATGGTACTATGCTTAGTTGAATAAGTCTTTCTTCAATATATAAAACTCATTTTTTGAGGAGCAGCTATAAAGAATCAGATGTATTAAGTCATTCTATTCTTAATACCAGTGCAGTCCCTATAAATCAGCATAGTTTAATAGTTGAATAGTATGGTCAATTATGTCACTGATATATTTAATTTCTCTAAGCATGTTAAGTTTGTTCTTAAGAAACTATATGTATAAAAAAGCATTTATCCATATCATACCAGCATGTAGGTGGCAGCAGGTCTGTAGTATTAAGTGAGGAGTTAGAGAAAGCAAATAGCTCAGGTAATGTCAGAAATCAGAATAGTCAAGAAATAGTCAGGGTTGGGAAGGGAAGGTGGAATCAAGACAGTCATTTAGAATAAGGGTCTGGGCATGCAGTGTGTCGGATGTCAGGCAGACAAGAACCGAGAGGGCACCCATAGCAAAAGGAAGATAAAAGGAGGAGGTAAGCCTAGATAAACAATGAGAAACTAGGAAATGTGAAATTGGAAATGACAGCACACATTCAGGTAAAATCCAGGCTTACAGTAATTAGTAGCTCTGTGGGGAAGGGAGAAAAGATGGAAAGTAGTAGAGAACAGATTAAAGGTATCATTGATAAACAGAGGTAAAGATTGTTAGTCCAGAAGCATTTAAGGGTTCTGGTGGAAGCAGGAGTCAATACCTTAACATAGCTTGCCATGGAGGGAATTAAGAAATCAAATGTCTATGGCCAGGGAAAAGGCAATTCCTGATTGTTTCCATCCCCATTGATTAGACAAAGATGTCCTTACCCTCTTTCACTACTAAGATTTTATTTGGGTATATTTGATAGTGGGCACAAACTTTGACTAGAATATCAATTACTAGGCAGGTTTTCAGGAGTGACCAACTTATATTTATCCCTATTTGGCGGTAAAATAGTAAACCCATCCCTATGTCTTTGAGTCTAAGATACATTACTCATTGCATTGCTGAAATATTGCTCATGTTGAAGAATCAGTATTGGCAGTCAGAAAATATTTCAGGCATGTTTTCTCCTGTATGGCCTTGCGCTTTGAAACATGGAAGAGAACAGAATTAGGAGCAATGAGTAGTAGTTTGATGGAGAGAAACACTATCTAGCATTTTGAGCTATCCAAGAGTGGAATGGATTGTTTTAGGAAGTAAATTTTCCCTTAGGGTCTTTAAGCAAAAATTGTTTACTAGCTGGCTTCTTAGGTCCCTTCCAACAGTGGGATTCTGTGGGTTTGTGAAGACTCTAGGGTTCATCTACCTCCCAGCTGATTTTCTGGACTTTACTATTGTCTTCAGTAACTCATTGCTCTTGAGTCCTCCTTGACCCTGGAACCCCTTCCTCCCTCTCTTTGACCGTTGAGGTGGAGGGTGGACATCAGAGAGTTCTTCCCAGATATTCTATTAAGGAGGGAGCCTAGTATTGACACCTCATCTCCCATCTGACTGCAAATGTTCATCATATACTCTTCTCTCTGCTCCCCACTTTTCAACTTCTTGTATCTATTGTCTTTTTGCAATAGATCGTGAGCTTTCTGAGGACAGGGACTATCTTTTGCCTTTCTTTGTACCCCTAGCACATAATAAGTGCTTAATAAATGTTTTTTGACTGACTGGGTCTTAAAGGAATCGGGTAGAGCTAGCTTAAAAACTCCAGAAGGAAGCTAAAAGCTGATACGTGAGAATCCTGATGTTTGAGGTTTCAGATTTGTGAAGACTGACTGATCTGTTGATGTTGCATTGAGAGTTATATTTGATTTGCTTAGAGAAATGTATGTCCAGATGTTCACAAGTAGCCCACTTGTTTGTTTTTAAAGTAAATTTTTATTAATGTTAAATATCATGCAGCATACCCATCTGGAGCCAGTCCCTCACCTTATTCTGGTACTGGCATACTAAGTCTCCAGAGGCATATAGTACTATCTACTTTCATGGTTCTAGGTTGATGACCTTTCGGGGATGGGTTTCGAGTGCTATTACGCATGAACCTCTATTCACATAGTTATCATTAACAATTAGCCACACATAATTAGCTTTCAGAAAAATGTATTTGTGAGGTGGTTTAGAGTTAGAGCAGTGGGTATAAAATATTCCCTTAGGAAGCTGAAATATATTCCCCCACCAATATACAAGGTCCATGAGGAGAGTGAGCTCAAATTTAAAGTAAAATGGTAATGAGGCACACGAAGAGAGAACACGTGTCTGTCTCCGGCTCCTTTTCTTCCTCTATATACTCCTCATGAAGTTTTCTTTCAGTACATCTCTCTTCTAGGAACCAAAACCCCTGCCTCTCTTGAGCCAATCATAAGGGGTTACATTCCCTGATGCTACCACCTTCTTCTAGTGGTTATCTTCCCATGTCCATCTGTAGCCACTCCCACCTTTGTCATCCACTACCATTCTGGTAGCTACTACCACTGCCACAGTTCAGCTTTAGCTTCTGATGGGACTCACAAGGTCACCTTGGTATTCATCTCAGAATATTGAGCATAAATAATAATACAAAGAGTACAAAAATAATAATAAAAAGAGATGAAGCTTCATGTGTTTATGGTTACCATAATCAGCTGTAGAAAACAGAGTGTCAACCACTTCCCACCTTATCCTTGGGACCATATTTAAATTACTCCTCCCTTCTCACAACCATGAAGGAAAAAAACATGAAAGGGCCAGTCACCCCTTTATAAATCTGTTCAGTTCTGGCTCAGCAGCCTCTGATCAGGAGTTTTTCCAGCTCAGTAGCATACTATACCAGCCCCTCGGGCACTCACTCCAAGCTTCCACATTGTTGCTTGTGCTGAAACCAGGCAGGGGATATCTGTGCATGCTGCAAGGAATCCTCCGTCTCCCGGGCCAGTCTTTGTTCCTAACAAATGGACCAGTGTATAATTTGAAGGCATTGTTCATATCCTCAATCCAAGAAACTTCTATGGGGACCTGATATGGCTTAAGCATTACCCTTTCAAGTGCCTTCCCTAGTGCCTTGCACAATATAGTTTCAGAATAGTCCTCATGACATGGACAATATTATATGACCCCAAATGCATAGGCTGGAACCATAATTCTTTCTAAAATAGTTATGTAGATTCAAAAAGCAAAGGGCACTTTATTTTTATTATTAGGCAATTGGGGTTATGTGACTTGCCCAGGGTCACACAGCTAGTAAGTGTCAAGTGTTTGGTCTGAAGCTGAGTTTGAACTCAGATCCTCCTGACTTCAGGGCTGGTGCTCCATCCACTGTGCCTCCTAGCTGCCCCAGCAAAGGACATTTTAGAAACTTGCTAACAGTTACTACTTGGGTAGTACTCAAAAAGGGCTTGTCTTGGTATTTTCATTTGACTTCCTGCAACCCAAAGATAATGAAAAGAAAAATAAGGCAAAGAAAATCAAGCTTTATAACTCAGAAGGAAAACCTAGTTTCTCCAGACCTCCCAGAATACTTGTGGCACTTCCC